ATAAAACAATGTGCATTATATATTACACAGGTATGATGTATGTATACATCACTAACAGGATTCCGGCTACAGTTTTACTTTGTTCTTCCACTGAGAATAACTTGTGCACATGTTTATGTCAAATTGGATCAAGTTTGCTGCTATGCTATTGCTGCTGCTTCCTTGTGTTTTATCAACGTGTGTGCATGTTTAGGGAGTGTTAAACCCTTTATTAGTTATGTTACCCCTCTGAATTCTGGATATGACTCACCATCAAATGAAACTTTTTTTCTGGAAAAGCACCTTTTGAGTATTAAGAACAATATACAACTCTTTGTCAGTAAGTAGGCAGGTATCCACAATCATGGTTTGATTGATTCCAGGACTACCTGTGGATACCAAAATCTGTGGATGTTCAAGTCCCATTATATACAATGGCAAAGTAAGATATCGTCCCTTATATAAAATGACAAAATCAAGCTTTGCTTTTTGGAATAAAAATTTGGTCAATATTTTCAAATCATGGTTATTTGGATCTATGGGCGTAGAATCTGTGGATACAGAGGGCCAATTGTACTTTGATAATGAGTTAGATTTATAGTGATAGACAGTGATATATATTTTGCTTCTTAATCGAGATTAGGGGTAGGAAGAAGGGAGGAAGATGAAGAGGAAAATGAATGTAATAATATAATAATAAGTTAAAGAATATTTAATGGGAAAAATAAATATATATTTGCAGATAATGTGATGGTGATGATGGAAGTTAAATGGAGGAAATGCTACCTATAAAATGCAAAATGGAATAAAGAGGAATCTTTTTCCCCATTAGCTTTATTTCAGAAATGTGAGAACAATTAATTTAGAGGTCCAAAATCCAATAAGAAGTTCATATGAGTTGGATTTAGAAGCACTAAGGCTCTGAAAAGTTTGTTTAAACACACACACACACACACACACACACACACACACACACAAAACAATTTCTATAAGTCCCCAGTTAGAATGGCCCTGCAGGAAGGGCAAGGGGTTATGTGCACCTATAGTTCATAGGCCACTTACTTTGATGGACTAGGGATTTCCATGTGACCAGAATTTCTGGATATGTTCCTTTGGTCTCCTGGATACTAAATCTTTGTGTCTTCAAAAACCATTTAGGGAGGCTGAGTTTTTAGCAGCCTAAAATAAAAACCTTTGAATGTTCCAATATCATTTCTGATTCCACTTCTCAAAGATGCAAAATTGTTCCCATTAGATGAAAAATTTTATCCTTTGTGTAATGAGCTACTGCAAATATCGGTCCTAGATCTCTATGGACCAGTATCCCTATGGCAATTTACGCTAATTGGACTCCCATATTGGCAGTTGGCATCCAGAGACCAAAAATTATTAACATTTATGTCATTCTTTTTGGTCTCTTCGGGGCCAGGAAGAAAATAACATTGATTATACTGAAGTGGGATTGGTCAATCCAGATTTCAACCTCATATTTCTGGCTATGAAGATCAGTCTCATCTCAGCAGCTGTGACTCTAGTACAATGTGCCATAGCAGAATTATGCCTGCTCCAAGTTTTCTTCTAAAATAAACTCATCCAGTTGATACATTTTGTTGTTGGGTTCTCACCTTTCTTTTCCTAAAGAAGCTTGGCCTACCAAAAATTAATTAAGCATATTGTGTTTTTCTGTTCTTGTGTGTCATAATAGGATAGTGGAGAAGATCTGACAACAAAACACAATTATCCTGAGCAACGCACACACAAAACAACCACAGCTGTAGTCACCTCTCTTGAAAGCTGCTTCTCTCCTAGGCAGCCAAGCAATTAGGTTTTCTAATTTTCACTGCTTACTTGATATACGGTGTTTTTGCAGAGGCCAGAGCCAGGGAACCTGAGTGAATGTTACATTCTCCCAAATGACCTAAGCAAAAGTCAGAAGCTATTTCTGAAAGGCACCAGGTGTCATGTTACTGATGGCACAGCCCAAGATCGTAAGAGCCTAGACTATTCCACTGGGACCCCATTAAGAGACTTATGGCAGCAGGGTTTTGTTTCAAGGAGAAGGTGGTTCTTGGAGGGTGAGTCAGAATGTCCCTATTTAAACAATTTGCCAAGCCATTCCCCATTGCCATGATGAGTTCCTGCAGAACATGTAGAACAGCCATCTGCAATATCTGTAAATAGCTCACAAGGAGGTAAAGGCTGATGTCTATTCACAGAATCATGTGACGGAAATATATGGGATCCTGGTTCTGGAAGAGTGCTATAAAGTTGCTAAAAAGTCTATTTTTCTGCCTAAGGAAAGTTTAATCATCTCAGACAGCTTCTCATTTGCTGTGTCTTCCCAGCCTGTTTGGGAAGTTTCTCTTCCCATCAGTGACCAAGGAGGTCAATCTTAAATAAATTCTTTAGGGGATATCTATCACATATGTATTTATTTAAAATATTTATATACAGTACTTCTTTTCCCGTGCTCATGATGATTTGCATATAATACTGCAGAATGGATTCTTCGCTGCTTCCATCCTCAACTGTCTTTTCTTGAGATTAAACAAGAGCTGCCAGACCTTCAGTATCTGGCTTTCATAGCCTTTTCCTCTGCATCATTGGTCTCCTTCAGACACTCCCCTCATTAAGTTTTATATATCTGATGCTAGGGCATTGTCCAGAGCAGAGGAGTTTCAATGAGTTCTGTGTGAGGCAAGATTGTTAAAGATGATTTCTCATGCACAGTAGACTTTACAGCCTCACACATAAAGAATCCCCCCCTGCCCCCTGGGAATCTCATCCTTAAATACAACACTCAGTAGCACTCTATGGGCAGCTTCTGGATTCTCATGAGGCCAACTGTATTCTCAAGCCTGAGAGGTAGATAAATGGACAGACATACAGAGAGAGAAATATATGTTACGCATGCATGTGTGTATTATGAATTACACAGAGAGAGACACACACAAACACACATTTATGCATGGTGTGTATGTGTTTATGTGTGAGTTACCACATGAGCCCCCAAAAATAGAAAGGCAGACTTCATTTTCTTTTCAACAATGTGCATGAATCAGAAATACATTCACATTCAGAAACAGAATTGTACTGCTGTTTAGAAGAAATGTACATGAATGCCTCACTTTACTTCCCTGTGTATCTGTCAGGGAAAGCATTACATATAGAATACACAGTAAATCAGGAAGAGCATTCCATACCTTGTCCTAAATGTCTTTTCAATAATGGAGGAGAGATCACTCTAGTTATATGGTAACATGGTGGAGGTGGGGAACATAAGGAATTGTTTTTTTTGCTGTGTGAATCACTT